AAGAGGCAAGTTTCTGATTTTCTAAGACAAAACGAAGAGTATTGGGTTTAACCGCCTAAGCTCGCCCAGGAACGCCCAGGCACGCCTTCTCTCCACTAGGCGCAAACTAAGCGCTATTCCTACCTACTAAGCGCTACTAGCGCCTTTTACAACGCCTATGGCCAAGTCAAGGCGATCCTCCACCGCCTAGCGCCTAATTGAGCCTAGGCGCGCCTTCTTGAACCCTGATATATATATATATATATATATATATATATATATATATATAAGGTGGCTACTTCGGTGCACTCACTTTTTTGAGTGCACTCAGTGCACCCATTTCTAAAAGTGTCCATAATAATACATTAAATTTTGAACTTTAATTAGTACTCTCAATCTTACATGATGATATGACATAGAATCATAACAAATCAATCTATTACCCTAACCCCTTAACCTTCAATTTTGAATCCCAATACAAAATCCCAAACTGTAAACCTAAACCCTAATCCTAAACCCCTAAATACTAAATCCTTCAAATTAAAGTAAATCTTAAATGATTTTTTTTTAAATTCATGGGCTTATCGTTCATAATATCATAAGCAACAATTGATACCATTTTGACATGAATCGCAAGCTCAGAATGATGATTATGAGGCGGGTGCGCTGAGTGTACCAAAAAAAGTGGGTGCACCGAATACGCCACTATATATATATATATATATATATATATATATATACTAGAAAAATAACAATTTTTATGTGCTTACTAGATCACTAAGAGATAATAGCATGAAGTAAAAATAATGGTTTGCTAAGTTAAAAACATAATTGCAACAATTTATTCATGTGGCATGTTCCTATACTTTAATATTAATGAAATATATCAACATACTTCACTCATATGCTACAATGACAAATGACAATTTTATGTGTTTAAGAATATCATCAATGGTAACCAAAAAAAATTTGTATCATTTTCAAAATCGAATTATGTTGATATGGCTTAAATATGACCATGACCAATTGGTAAAATAAGTTAGAAGAAAAGTAATGTGGAAAAACCTAACCATTGACATTTCTCTTATATTAAAAATAATATCATTATATTTTCTTTAATGATAATCCAAATTTTTTCTATTTTCATTTTTCTACGTCTTTCATTTTTTTTACTTGCAATAGTATAAAATACAATGTTTTTACTTTTTTATGATGTAATTATAATTCCTTTCTTTTTTCTTTTTATCTTTTGACATAGGTTACTTTCTTTTTCCTACATGAGTGAAGATATGCAACCTTGAGTCATGTTCAGATGCAAAGCACCTAAATTAAGCAAGAACACTAGGTTCTAATTATCTAAATCATAAACAATAAACCCTAAAATGGTGCATTGATTTTTTTACCTATATTTGGACGAATCATAACCGTCGATTATTGTTTCATAATTAAATTGATCTTGGCGTATAAGATTTAGAGAATTAAGACCTAGATTTTGATCTTTAAAGATTAGAGTATATTACCATGTCCGAAAGATTAGTCAATTCAAGTTCTGGATAGCGTTTTCTTACTCAAGGTATGCGGTATCCCAGATTTCACCCTGGGTGCCGTATAACTCCCCATATATATATGTGTGTGAATGATTGATTGATTAACTTTTTTAATACTTACTTACATCAAATGTAACACTCTAATGAATATATTACTATTATAATTTTTAGTAGCTGGTTATATTCTCCGGATAACCCGGCTCATAAGATAATGATATAATTCTTCTTTAAAGTTGTTACCTTTAGAAGTTGTAGACACCATATTTTGTCCAGGACAACGACTGTACTTAAACTAAAAAAAGGGAGAAATTATAACGATGAATTAAATAGAATGTTTTGAAGGATTTGGTTGAGATTAGCAGTGGCTAGTCAAGTACCAATGACTCCGAACTTCAATCTTGTTTAGTTATAATACCAAATTGATCAGGATTACTGGTGACGCTAATGATTACCATGATTATTCCTATACAATTCTAGATAAATTATTTGAGATTTGCAGTGGCAAATCTAAAGCATCAATGACCAAAGCTACCCATGTCTAGTTTTAAGATTGGCTCAATTGGATGAAAGCAATGGTAACTTTAATTTTATAGTTTGTTGGTCTACTGGGTAAAAGACTACTCAAGGTTTGCGTTTTGATCTCAAACAAAAAATCCAACCCTGAAACACGCTCGATAACCACCAATCTCCTCCGATCGACGCCTCCACCCCCAAATAACCCCTAGCCCAAGCCCAGATTTTGATTCCAACCACAATCCCCAACCATTGCCTCCCTTTTACTGCGACGGCTTCCATGCAATCGACGCCATGGTGATACCAAGCTTGAATCTCAAACAAAAAAAGTTTGAATCTAACCAAATCGCCAACAGGGAATACCGCAACAACGAGGTCTAACAGATAAGATGTACAGTTTGGTTGCTTTTTGCCTTATGTGGCAGGTGAGATGGCATCGATTCAGCATTCCGTTAGTCAATTTAACACCGTGTGACACGCCGTTATAGTTTTAGACGAAATTGGATAGATTTGTCGCACAACCTTCCGATTTTTGGATTTTGCGTGTATTTCGATAGTTGTGGATATATTTGTCACAAACCTGATAGTTGTGGATATAAAACTGTATTTTGCCATTTGTATTTCTTTTGTCTCTCTATTTTGGTTGATAACATCTATAGATTGTTTCTATTGTTAATCCATGTTCCCAAGCACCTTTTAATTTGTACAATGAAATACTTACCAATTATCAGCTTGCTTTCATACTCTATCCCCATTTATACGATTTTTGTATGGATGCTTATGATTTTTGCTAGCTTACCTTCACTATGAGCAATATATCTTGTCCAGCTTAATTTTTACCATAGTTAAATTCCTCTACTTTTATATAACATAGATTGGAACACTACTATTGTCATATGTGAATCATAGGAGCAACCAAAAATCCAATATAGATCCCACATAGATCCAGCTTCCGATTTTAGATTAGTAATAGTATAATTAAAACCATCTCTCTCCCAAACCCAAATATGAAGATCACAACTAAACACTAGATCCTAACCAAACACGCATCACACACATAACCAAACACATATACGACGCATATGAAGAGTTTTGCCAGCCTAGAGTCCGAAATTAGCTTCGAATCCCATATTTGAAATACTAGATCTAGATCCAACAAACATAATATCATTTTCGTAAACCCCTATCATTTCCGAATTAATAAATCACAAAAACCCTATCAAACCAATTATAATAAGATTAGGGAAAATTTAGTTCCTTTCAGTGTAGTGATAGCAAGTAGTGGCGGCACTAATGAGCTAGATTTCTTCTAAACTGCTTTTGTCTTTATGAAATTAATTAGCGAAATAAGAGCCTAAAAATAGAAATACCAAAAAAATATCCATATTTCCCAAAATTTCGGATCGGTAAACAAACCAAAACCCCACGATGATACCATCTCTTAATTAATTCAGCTTTCTTAATTTACACTAAATAAATTGGGTTTAGGAAGCCTCAACCAGATCCGGTTTCTCATCCAAACCTACAAGGAAGAAGAATAAGTTTTTGAATTAGATTAAGTTTTTTAAATAAAAATAACGCATTAACATGAATTTTAATTGAAATCCTACCTCTGCTTTTTTTAGACGAAGGTCGTCTCCGGCAAGGTCTCGCTGCCGACCGAATCCAAACCCTAGAAAAAATAATAATTAGGATATCATTTTTGGGCTCGAAAATAGAAATAAAATTCATATGCAAATTAAAAATCTTACCCAGACCTCCTCGTTCTTTTTGTCTGGCTGTCCGAAAGAAAAGCTCGGAATAAACCCCCTCGCCGTCGGCGACTCCCCCGCTCGCGCAACAGATCGAACTCAAAAATAAAAAATCCCAAATCAAAACAAAAACACACATGCATTAGAAACCCTTGATTCGTTTAAAAGAGCAAGAAATTGAAAGGAGAAGAGCATGCATGGCTCGATCCTTACCTGGAACGAAATTCTCCAGGTCGGGTTTAGTCTGATCCTTGTCATCTTCTAAGCCAACAGCGAAGGAAGAGTGGGGAATTCGATTCTAGGGTTTTTCATTTCTCAGAGATGGCGAGTGGGAGAAAAGGGGAGGAAGAGAATGTTGGCGTCGAGCAAGAGATGCCTACTGCTCGTTTCTCCTTTGTTCTTTCTTTTGCTACCTGAAACCCTAACTCGATCTTCTGGTAGAAAAAGTGAGAGACAAATAGAAATGTACTGAAATGCTCTTAAGGCAACCAAACTAAAAACTCTTCTCTTAATCAGATGAGCACCGACCAGAAGAGTTGGGATTTGAGAACCCGACCCACTCTTATTCTTAAGTTCTCTTTTATTCAGTTAATTACCCACAGTGTTGCGTTTTAACCTTAAAACCCACCCTCTTCCTTTACCTGCAGAGTTCCTCCCCTATATAAGCTATTCAACCTGATTCTGCAGAGTTCAAGTTAAACCAGAAAAGCAATTGAATAATATGTAGAAGCTTAAAGACACAGACACTTTTACGTGGTTTCCCGTATTGGGAGAAAGAGGATCCCAATACTGACTACTCCACGATCGGAAGATCACGGTGTGTGATTTCCGATGATCCACTAAAGATTGATTGTTTGATGCTTCGATACAGAGTTTCACTCCTCGACGAGATCACACTGCCTATCCAGGAAGCTTGATCGAAAACCTATCTGACTCACACACAAACTCACCTATCCAGCTCCACTCTTGTATAGGCACACTCCTGTTCTATACTCGAGTCCCTTTTCTAATCATTCTCAACTAACAATCTCCTTTGTTCTCTCATTGAAATTGATCTCCAGAAAAGTGCCCTCTTCTTCTCAATTCCTTTCATTCTTATACTTCTTCACAGTAGCCGTTACTCCAGAGTTTCCTCTTCTGTGGTCTTCTTGTAATGGTAATCATTCGAATTCCTTCCTTGTTTTGATTTCAAGAACGTTCTAGCAATCACACGATCAGCTCATCTTTGTTGACAAGCTGCTCTCAACAGTCTCCCCCTCAGCTTGTCAATGATTCCATCCTGTTGCAGTTGGCGTTCCTGCACACATTAGCACACTCATTACGTGCAGACTGATCTAGACATTGGTCAAAGAAAAAAACTTAACTTATAACAGGAGAGAACACAAAGAAGAGTAATATTATTTCAGAAACCAACACTGTTTTACAACCAATATCAAAATCTCATTAGCCACGACACCTATGCTCTTAGATAGAGCTTTATTTAGGAACAGACACTGATGCTCAGAACGACAGAGCTTTATTCAAAAACCTACGGACACTTATTTTAACACCCAGACTACTAACTCTTACTTAGACCGACTTGAGAACAATTTACTCCCCCTCACATCAGCCACCTAAGAATTCTTAGAAGGGATAAGTAGGTGAGGACAAATAGTCTAAAATGTCAGACATGACCTCCTCATTTTCAGGTACCGCCTCTTCTTCTTCTTCTTCTTCTTCTTCTTCTTCTTCTTCTTCAGGTCCACCTTCAGCCACTTCGGTAGGAACGACATTGCCAACAGTCACTCCCCCTGAAGAATTGACCCGAGGACGACGACGACCTACAAGGGCATTGACCTTACGAAGAACAAACTGAGCCCTAAGAGTATCGATGAGGTTAACGCGAGAAACTTTGTAGGGCCGATCGAGACCCAAGGAGCGCATAAGTAGTGTGATTTGAGGAGCAAAAGGCAGCTCGTCATTGAAATAGTCATCACAGTACTGCATCATGTGACCTATCATAAGATGGGGATAGCTGATGCGCCTATTCTCTTTTGCACTGGCAAGGATCCACATATCCATGGGATATATGCGAGTGAGTACATGAGAACGAGGAATAAACACTCGAGTAATGTAGAAATGCAACACTTTCAGATCATCTGGCAAGCGCCTAGCATCGAGTCTGGCAGGATGATAGGCACCGATATCCCTAGCATATAGATGCATAGCCTCATTCTCATTGAATTCCATAGTTGGGAAATCAGCTTCGTCCACCACTTCTGCTCCTTGGATTGGATACCCAAGCACATATGACAGCAAGTCAACAGAAATAGTGAGCAGATAATTGTAGACCGTGGTAGTGAAGGTAGGAGGATCTGTGTTAAAGCAAGGTCGCATGTTTGCATAAAACATGCAAACAGCTTTAGGACGATATCCATAACACTGATCGAGGGCAGATCAAACCAACCTACAACATTGATCAGCACAGGAAGATTCATATCATAGCGATTGAAGCGGACAAGATGAAGAGACACAGGGGGACACAGAGGACGATCCTGAAATATCAGAAGATAGCGATTGTAGTCTTCAGGACTGTTGAACTCTCTGCCTGTAAAGATGGCAGCTTGAGCAAGATGCAGAGGCACGAGTGGGTTGATGTCAGCCATGATGACGAGTTACTAGCTCTAGGTTTGATAACACAAGAAGGTTGAATGAACCACCCCGGAGGAGAGGTGAAATTTATAGGGTAAGAAAGGCTTGAGGTTTGAAGGAAGGAATTAGGAAAGACTAGGGTAAAAAGGAAGGATACCACTAACATGGTAGGAAATTTTTTTGCAGTGGGGATACCGAGAATATACGAGAAAAGATAAGGAAAGACTTGGCCCTAAAGAATGGCTGATTAGTCTCAAAGACTAAGAAAGCACATCAGTACTCAGATTTACTTGCGAGCTTGAATTTCCTTAATATCTTGAAGAGAGAAGATTCCCTGTTCTCTACGAATGGTAAGAAAGGATTCAGACCCTAAAGATTTTGTAAAAATGTCGGCCCATTGGAAGGAGGTAGGCACAAATTCAAGATGAATCTAGCCTTCTTGGACCAAGTCCCGAATAAAATGAAACCGAATTTCTATGTGCTTAGTCTTAGAATGTTTCACAGGATTCTTAGACATGTTAATTGCACTTGTATTGTCACACAACACAGGAAGAGACCCAAACTCTAAGCCATAGTCAAGTAGTTGAAATTTCATCCACAAAAGTTGAGTACAGCAGCTCCTTGCTGCAATATATTCAGCTTCTGCAGTTGACAAAGCTACTGAGTTTTGCTTCTTGCTAAATCAGGCTACAAGAGATGTTCCCATGAAGTGACAAGTACCAGAGGTACTTTTCCTATCAACTATGCATCCAGCATAGTCTGAATCGGAATAACCAACCAACTCAAGGCTGGATTCACATGAGTACCACAGTCCAAAAGTAGACGTGCCAGACAAGTAACGAAAAATGCATTTTACAGCAGACTGATGGCTCTCCTTAGGTGCACTTTGGAAACGTGCACACACACACACAGACACTATAAAGAATGTCTGGTTTACTAGAGGTGACATACAGGAGAGACCCTATTAATCCTCTGTACAATTTCTCATTTACAGCCTTTCCTAACTCATCTTTATATTTTTAAGTTAGATGCCATAGGGGTGAGAGCAGATTTTAAGTTTCCAAAGTTAAATCGGTTTATCATATTCTGAATATATTTGGACTGACAAACAAAAATCCCTTGAGGAGTCTGAGAGATCTGTAAGGCTCCTAGTAGTAACTGATTTGACTCTCGTTTGGTAAACAGAGTTTTCTCAACCGCTCCTCTCTGAAAACCATTATCTAAGAGAAGTGAGCTCAATTTATCATATCATGCTCTAGGAGCCTGTTTTAAACCATATAAAGCCTTTTTAAGTTTATATACATAATTAGGAAACATGTGATCCTCAAAACCAGGAGGTTGAGACACATAGACTTCTTCTTTTAGCTCACCATTTAAAAAAGCACTCTTGACATCCATTTGGTATAGTTTGAAATTATTAGAAATAGCAAAAGCACATAACAACCTCACAGCTTCTAATCGAGCCACAGGCGCGAAAGTTTCATCAAAATCAATTCCTTCTTCCTGACTATAGCCTTGAGCAACTAACCTGGCCCGATTTCTAGTTATGACACCAACTTCATCAGTTTTATTTTTATAAATCTATTTAGTCCCAATGATCACTCTGTTTTCGGGTTTAGGAACAAGTTCCCACACATTGGCTCTCTCAAACTGATGCATTTCATCAAACATGGCAGCAGTCCAAAATTCATCAAGAAGAGCTTCTTGAACATTTCTAGGTTCAAACTGAGATACGAAAGCTAAGTGTGAGGGAGTGGTCTTTGACCTAGTAACCATACCTTTATCCATAGGTCCGGTTATTTGAGAGGTAGGATGTCTTCTGGAGATGTAGGGTGGAGATTGATGATCAGATGAGCCTAGATTTGCGCCCTTCTCTATTTCAAGGGGCAAGGAGTTCTGAAATTCCTCAACAGACGATTGTTGACTTTGATTTTGTCTTCCAAGATCAACTCTCTCAGAACCTTGGTCTGTAGGACCTTTATTTGAACAAACTGCTACTGGTCTCCTGAGACCAAAGTCATCATCATCAACTTCATCTGAAACCTCAATGACAGACTCATCAAATAAAACATTAATGGACTCCTCAACCTTGAGGGTCCGTTTATTAAAAATCCTATAGGCTTTGCTCGAACTAGAATAACCCAAAAACACTGCCTCATCAGATTTTGCATCAAACTTCCCTAGATTATCTTTCAAATTCAAAACAAAACACTTGCAACCAAAGGTCCGAAAGTGCCCAAGATTCGGTTTTCTACCTTTCCAAATCTCATAAGGTGTTTTATTTAGACCAGATCTAATCAGGGCTCTGTTGATAACATAGCAAGCCGTGTTAATAGCTTCTTCCCAAAAGTATTTGGGAATCCCATAATCATGCAATATGGTCCGAGCTATGTCAATTAGAGTTTTATTTTTCCTTTCCACCACCCCATTTTGCTGTGGAGTTCTAGGAGCAAAAAAGTTATGAAAAATCCCTAGTTCATTACAATAGGCTTCAAATGGATCAGAAGAAATCCCCCCCCCCCCCCATGATCACTTCGAATGCTATAAACCTTAGTCGAAGTTTCATTCTCAATTTGTTTGACTAAGTTTTTGAAGTTCACAAAAGCTTCTTCTTTCTTACCTAGAAACAATACTCATGTAAATCGAGAAAAGTCATCTACCACAACAAATGCATATGATTTTCCCCCATAACCAGTCACATTAGTAGGTCCAAATAAGTCAAGATGAAGTAATTCTAAAGGCCTGGAGGTAGAAATGAGGTTTTTGCTCTTAAAACTAGACATGGTTTGCTTTCCTTTTGCACATGCATCACAGAAAAATTCTCTTTTCTCATTAATGTTAGGCAGACCTTTGACCAAATTTAGACGAGCTAGTTTTGACAAGGCGCTGACATTTACAAGCCCTAAACGTGTATGCCACTCTTCCTGCAGATGTTTATCAAGACTAACCAGACACGTCTCATTGAAACTTTCCTTGTCATTGAGATCAATTGTGTAAACCTTACCATTGCGCTTCCCAATGAATAAGACTTGCTTAGTTATAATGTTCTCAACAAAGCAACATGTTTGTTCAAAGACTACTCTACATTCCTTACCACACATTTGACTAATCGACATTAAATTGTGTTTTAAACCATTAACCAGCATAACATTTTTTATTGAACGACAAGTCCTAACTTGACCTTTTCCTATAACATCAGCAGAATTGTTATCTCCAAAGAAAACTTTGCCAAAATTTCCTAAATTAATGTTTGTGAAAAGATACTTGTTACCAGTCATATGGTGTGAGCACCCACTATCCATGATCCATTTGGTAGTCTCCATGCTCACTTGAAGACACCTCTGCAAACATACAGTTCAAGTTTTTTTTCTAACCAAGATCTGCTTGGGTCTTTGGGAAGAGTAAGTATTCCAAAAATATTGATTTCTACCTATCATTCTATTTTTCTTAGCTTCTGACCTCAACCGTCTGTTACAATCTTTTATCAAATGACCCTTCTTGTGGCAGTAAAAACATTCTATGTCCATCATAAATTCTTTACTCATACTGGTATAGCCATGTATTCTGTGATGATTTGAAAGACTATGAACTTGATTCTTTAAATCTAAGCATTCTTTCTGAAGGTTTAGTTCATACTAGAATATCTGATATTTAATTTCTTCTAACTTCATTTACACACAGCAGATTTTCTAGATCATGAATTTTCTTAAGGTTTAGTTCATTTTCTTTCTTCAATTTTGAGTACTTGCCCTTGACATTCTCAAATTCTAATTGAATCTCCTTAATAGTTTGACTCAACATCTCATCATCACTATCATATTCAATATCCAGTAGTTCAGTTGAATTAGAGGCACTTACCTAAGAGGTCAGATCAGTTTTTGATGTTTCCCTTTCTTCCTCTATCTCTTCAGCGATAGCCTATATATGATCTATGCACCGTCACTTCATAATCATCATCTCCTTCATCTTCACTTCCACTCCATGTAGCTGTAAATGCCTTATCTCGTTTGAGAAGAGGGCATTCTGCTTTTATATGACCAGCTCTTCCACATTTAAAACACCCAGTGGTGCTTATCCCTCTTAGACTCTGCCCAGCCTCATTTCTTCCTTTTGCTAACCCTCTTGACTGTCCCAGCCTTGCATCTCCTTCATTTCTGTCTATTTCTTTGGACTTTGTTCCTCCCATCTTTTTCTCCTTACGAAACCTGATAAGTCGACTAATCTGCTTGCTCAATAAGGCTAGTTCTTCATCTTCCATATCTTCCAGTTCTTCTGGTTCATCTACAGAACTAATTGCCTTGAAAGTAATCCCTCTTTTCCCTTTTTCATTAATTTCCTTCTCTGACCCAGCTTTCATCAATTTGTCTTCGTGAGTAGTCAGAGATCCAATTAATTCGTCAATTGCCAGCTTCTCTAAATCTTTGGCTTCCTCAATCGCTGTAACCTTCGGAGTCCACTTTTCAGGTAAACACCAAAGGATCTTCCTTACAAGATCTCCACTCTCATATGATTTGCCGATATTTTCCAAACTATTCACTATGTTTGTGAACCTCTCATACATCTGTCGAATCATCTCTCCTTCCTCCATTTTAAATAACTCAAATTGATGCTTGAGTGAATTGATCCTGGAAGTTTTGACTTGAGATGTACCTTCATATGTCACTCAAAGTTTATCCCATATTTCCTTCGTTGTCTTGCACCCAGCTACCTTATGACACTCTTCTGGACAAAGAGCACAGTACATTAGATTCGTAGCCTTACAGTTTTGTTGAAATCTTTCGTAGTCTTCATTGGTCCGCTTTTCTTGATCTGCTTTGAGCTCATGAGGACCTTTGACTACCCTTGCCCACAGCTTAGGATCTGTTGATCCCACAAACAGCTCCATTCGGTTTTTCCAGTAGCCATAATTGACTCCTTTAAACCTCGGTGGTCGATTTTGCAAAAAACCATCTGCAAAATACAGCGGTGCACCACTTGTAGATCCTGACGCCATCCTGGATTTCGCCAAAGGATGCAAAACCTTTCTTGAGTAGCGACCTGGCTCTGATACCACGTGTTGGCGTCGAGCGCGAGAGGCCTACTGCTCGTTTCTCCATTGTTCTTCTTTTGCTACCTGAAACCCTAACTCGATCTTCTGGTAGAACAAGTGGGAGACAAAGAGAAATGTACTGAAATTCTCTTAAGAAAAACAAACTAAAAAATCTTCTCTTAATCAGATGAGCACCGACCAGAAGAGTTGGGCTTTGAGAACACGGCCCACTCTTATTCTTTAGTTCTCTTTTATTCAGTCAATTACCCACAGTGCTGCGTTTTAACCTTAAAACCCACCCTCTTCATTTACCTGCAGAGTTCCTCCCCTGTATAAGCTATTCAACCTGATTCTGCAGAGTTCAAGTTAAACCAGAACAAGCAATTGAATAATATGCAGAAGCTTAAAGACATAGGCACTTTTACGTGGTTTCCAGTATTGGGAGAAAGAGGATCTCAATACTGACTACTCCACGATCGCAAGATCACGGTGTGTGATTTCCGATGATCCATTAAAGATAGATTGTTTGATCCGTCGATACAGAGTTTCACTCATCGACGAGATCACACTGCCTATCCAGGAAGCTTGATCAAAAACCTATCTGACTCACACACAAACTCAGCTATCCTGCTCCACTCTAGTATAGGCACACTCCTGTTCTATACTCGAGTCCCTTTTCTTATCAATCTCAACTAACAATCTCCTTTGTTCTCTCGTTGAAATTGATCTCCAGAAAAGTGCCCTCTTCTTCTCAATTCCTTTCATTCTTATACTTCTTCACAGTAGCCGTTACTCGAGAGTTTCCTCTTCTGTGGTCTTCTTGTTATGGTAATCATTCGAATTCCTTCCTTGTTTTGATTTTAGGAATGTTCTAGCAATCACACGATCAGCTCATCTTCGTTGACAAGCTGCTCTCAACCGAGAAGAGGGGTTTCGTTGGATTTCTTCTCATATTTCAAAAGGGAGAAGATGGGGAAAAGGAGAGTGGCTCTCTTGGTTTCTTTCTCTGGTGGAAGAACAGAGAGGTAAGAGGGAGAGAGTCGCGAGAGAGAGAGAGTAAGTAAGGCAGAGGGACGGTCGCCGGTTTTGGCTCCGATTTAGGATTAGTGTGATTAGGGTTGGATGAGATGAATATATACCTGGCCGTTTACAATTACCCTTCTACCCCTAGGGTTTATTGTTAATTACGTGGCCATGCCACCATCCTTTTGAGCATTTACGAGGTTTTGAACCCATGTCCTCATGAGTGGATGCACCCTGTGCTGGCAACTTAGCCAGTTGGGTTGCTGGCCCGTCATGCGTTATTTAACCATCTCGCTTAATTTTATTTGTTTAAAGTCCTTAATACGAAATGTGAAATGCGGATTAAGTTAGTTTTGCTTTTTGTCTGATACATCGAATTTCTTCTTAATGATTAAAATTCTTGCATTCATCTTAGTAACATCATAATAATCTAACTGAAATTTTATTAACAAATTTATGATGCAAACATAACGTTCAGTGGAACGTGATAAAAGTTAGGATTAAAACTATCAAAGTTAACAAAACCCTTAATACGAGAGCCACTATAGGTGTAACGTGACAAAAGTCATACAATTAAATCATCAAAATTCAAACGAACTACGTGGACTTTGATCTTGTCTAACGGGTACGTAGGCAACCGATAACTTTCGAGTCCAACTAACTAATCAATTTTATCTTTTAATTTTTACGTCAATGGGCGTATTATTAAAATTACAACTAATACGATTTAATTTCTCTAGTTGGTCTAGTAAGGCCCTAAAAATATCTAAAATATCTAATCATGAACTAAACGTCCAATGACGTATTAGTTAAATCATAAGCAATACATTAATAATCCACCGGGATCTTAAAATACACAATAATTACCAAAATACAACCACTTCGTATAAAAACTTATCGACTTAAGTAGTACCGATTTAGGGCGTTGTGGGGTGTGATTTCACTTCCCCACACGTAACCGTACCCCCGAACCCAAATCTCTTAATCGCAAACCATACCTCGATTCTGACCCTAAGGTTAGAGCTGATTCGAAGAGTGTTCGATATACTCCAAGTAAGATCGATGGCGACTCCCAAAAAGCGAACGTGACAACCTCGGCCCCCGGAGGGACGGTTGCGACAGTTGGCGACTCCGCTGGGGACTTCGAGAGTCGAGCTATATAACTAAGTTCGATAAGTTTTCTAACCTTTTTTTACGTGTTGGGTGTTCACTACTTATTTCTGCAAATATATTTTCGCAATTTAAATTTTGCATTCATGCACAAAAGCTCTATGCCCGAGCTATCCCTTAAGAAAATTGAAAGGAGTACCGTGACATCCATATTAGTGGTGGTCACGCAAAACTTTCGAACCAAGTTGAACTCGGATCTGAGGATGATTTCGAGGTATCCAGCCAGTTCGAAAGGGCTACGACAGGATACAACTTGAGAGCCAAATACCAAGGAATTCCTTTGCCAACATATACTAAGCTTAGAAGCCTCCCTAAACCATCCGAATCAATATCGAAACCACCATAAAACCATGTGGTTATGCTGCACGAAAGCCCTAGGTCTACCTAAATAGGGTAAGGATGTAATGATATGTGTTTGTTTATCTAAATGTATGTTTGCTTACGATGTTATGATATGTATTTTATCTTTCACTCGTTAAACTGTGTGATTGTATGAATGAAAAATGTTTTCAAAATTCATAAGCATCATTTTCTCAAGATTTTCATTCACTCATTCACAACTTATCATAAAAAGATTTAAAAAAACTCACATGCATTAAATGAAAAATGAATTTGCATTCATACATCATTAACATTTTGCAATAGCATCACGATTACACCATCATTAAAAAAAAAGAGGAAATAATTTGACAATATTAAGACGGTCCAGGTTTTCTTAAAATTGCTCGTCCACAAGGAAAAAGTCAAGACTTCAAGTACTTAGCTAGATCCAAGCTCGAGTTCGTCGTGGAAGCGTTCCATAAAAAGTTAAGCGACATTGAAGGAAAGATAACCGGATTCGATGAAAAGCTAGCCGGATTCGATGAAATGAAGGATCAACTGAACATGATAGTAAAGATCTTATCAGCTAAAGGTAAAGGGGTAATATCTAACGATGAAGAAATACACTCTGATGAAGAAGATCGCTTGGGCACTTGAAGGGTGAAGTTTCTAGTGCCAAGGTCCCCGTCATACCCTCAAAAGACGTAAATGATAAGAAGAACGTGGGATCTCCAAAACATGATTGAGAGGAAGACAAATTGGAAGGAGCCATGGACGACATGCTATCAAAAGAAAAATGGGAATACCAGGACGAAAGGGTGAGAGCCATTGACGGAGTAGAATCCTACGGCTCTACAGATGCCACACAGTTGTGCCTAGTGCTAGACGTGATAATTCCCAATAAATTTAAAATTACAGAGTTTGAAAAGTATAACTGTACGACGTGCCCCCAGAAACCATCTGATCATGTATTGCAACAAAATGGCTAACCACATTAGAGATGACAAGCTCATGATACATTGCTACCAGAATAGCCTAAGTGGTTCGGCGCTAAGATGGTATATGCAACTCGAAAGGTCGAAGGTGAAGAGGTTGCAAGATTTAACTTATGCATTCATGAAACACTACAAGCTTAATCAAGATTTAGCCCCAGATAGAGAAGATTTACGCGCCATGGAAAAGCAAGAGAATGAATCTTTTTGTGAGTATGCACAGAGGTGGTGAGGAACGGCCGCAGATGTTCAACCCCCGTTGTCAGAAAAAGAAATGGTTTTGACCTTCTTCGAAACACTGAAGCCTCCATATTACAACAACATGGTAGGAATCACCACAACAAATTTTGCAGATTTGTTAGTAATTTGAGAACGAATAGAGAAGGGGATTAAGTTAGGAAAAATGGAAATTCCAAAAGCCTCTAAGAAACCACACCAAGCCCGAAGGGGAGAAACATACGTCCATTATACTCAAATATATTAATCAAAAGGGAGAAGGTGGGATTATCAACCTCAGGCCAATCAAACTTGTCCCTATGGTGCAGACCCTGCCATAATTAATCAACATCAAATTTTTCCTACTCAACGAACAATCCAAAGCCCGACACAAATCGCACCACCAAATAACCAAGACCAGAACAATCACGGGAAATACAAAAAACCTCTCCAAATTGACCCTATCCCCATTACATACACTGAACTTCTCCCTCAACTAATTCAGAGTCACCTAATTTCCCCAATACCATGTGAACCAATGAAACCTCCTTATCAAAATTGGTACAAAACAGGCCAGCATTGTGCCTACCACTCAAGAGTCGCGGGACACTCAACTGATGATTGTCGAATGTTCAAGATCCAAGTCCAACAAATGATGAATGTCGGTTGGTTGAAGTTCGAAGAGGAGCCAAAACGTCCAGACATCAGCAATAACCCGCTACCAACACATGGGAATTAGTAGGCATGTTACAAGGCAAAGCTTGATTCAAGGATGATGTTGATCCTATCTAGTAAATAAGATATCGAGATAATTTGACATAACAAAATATGTATCAGTTTTGCTTTCACCGTCATGAATAAAAGGTCTTTCACGTTACGACCTCTTCGGAGCACTGTGTGAACATTATCAATCTTAATTTTAGAGTTTGCATCAATGGGTTTTCATAATCAAAATAGTGAATACCACTTCTGATGTCTTTTTAAAAAATAAAAAAGGATTTATTTTCTACAAAAATGAAACCCATCAAAAACCAGTTTCATGCTCAAGTTAAGCCATGAGATTGTCATGCTAAGAAAATGTGAACACCCCACTGGTGTTGAGAATTTAAAACACCCCATTAGTGTCGAGAGCTTAAGAGCCCCACTAGCTTTAAGAGTATGAACACTCTACTTGAGTTCATATAAAATTGTGAGTCAAAATTAATAGTCAAAAGGTGTAACGAGTATATGACATCACGCTACTTGTAGAATCTTGTTGCCACTGTAGTCGACTTTTGCGAACATGTTGAGACTCCGTTTACATGAAGTCAACTAGCCAAATCCCAGTGCATCGATACATAGGGAGCTCAACATTATGGATAGGAAACTTCTCACTGAATGTCATGACTAGAGGATTGAAGGAGTTCAAGGATGCAATCTATGTAAACCAAGGAATTACACGCATGAAACACTTATCTATACAAACAAACACATCACGCCAGCAATCTCGCTTCTTCGGGAAGGGAATAGCCAAATAAGGCTAGCTAACAAAAGGCACCCAAATTCTCAATCACCAAGACAGACTCTCGGCCTTCCTATACTTGTGTCTAGCAAAACAAATTTCAGAATTAGGAAAACGAGAAGCATAGATGGGGGCATACCATAGCCAAGTAAGTCCCGCACACAAAAAAGAGAGCATAAAAGGCGAGAAAAAGAAAATATGTTGTGGGACTTACAAATTAGGTGCCCCTAGTTAGCATTTGAAGCATCAACTGCATGCACCAAATCAAGGTCTTACAAAGAAAAATGATGACCTCAAGCAAGACCTCCTATGATAAGAAAGCCTTTTTGGCCAAAATCACTTCATCCCAGATACTCATCATTTTGAGAGCAAGTCAAAAGCTGAAGCTCCACCACAACCAACATTTAGAGGTCAAACAAAAATCTTGACAAGTCCATAACCAGATTACATTCGCAAAAATCTCAAACCACGACTCATGAAACCATAATCTCAAAGACAGGGGGTAAAGCCAGCAAACACACATTCCCCCAAATATGCCCAGGGCTGCCAGCATTTTCAAACAAGACTACGTCAACAAAAAGATCCGGATAATAGTGTTTCTTAACCCATCAAGACAATCTCATACTTTGGGGGCAAATACAAAATCCCTCAACGTGAAGCCTTATATGGGCAAGATCAAGATCTGACTTATCCTTCACCCACCTAAATAAACCACACTTCAACAGCAAGAAGACTCCTACCATCAAAGTCATATCGGACAAAAGCCACTTTCATGGGAAACCAAAACGTCCGCGACGAACCATATGGAGATCTTCTAAATCAATTACATCAAAGGCTTCCATATTGAGTAAATCTTCACAAGAAACGCAGTTGGCCACAACATAAAGGCGACGTCTCAAGGTGACTAGAATCTTAATAGTATCTGAAATGTAGTACACTCAAATCACCTATAGAAATGAGTGATGAGCAAAATCAAAAGTGGGAGTGAAAGCGAGCAAAATAAAGCAAGAGTGAGAGTGAGGGGGCTTACTGATATTCTCGTTGCTTGGCTTAAATTGTTTTTCATTGAAAAAAAAATCAAATTTCGCCACATGGAAACTACCACACAAAAACGGTTTCATCTAGTTTGCACACACTTCTCGAAAAAAAAGTCTTGATATGGCTTTCATTTTTAATTCTCAAATAAACATTTTCAAACATTTTTGTATTTGTCTTAAGTCAAGATTGATAAGGTCACTCTTTGTTCCGACGAATAGAAAGTGAGTACCAAATCTTCGGGGGCAAACCCGATACACAATGGAAGATGGGGAAGTTTGAGTACCCAAGAATCAGATTAATCAACTTTTCATTCATGAGTTGATAAAGAAATCTCGAGGAATTTGAGAACATTCAAATCTCATTAAACCAACCGCCCAACTTATTATCCTTCAACTTCATGGTCAGAAGAAGAAGGAACTAATATACTGCACATACCATGAGATGCACAACTCTGAAATATGTGGGTCCAAGCTTGACCGACAAGAAGAACGTAGATAAAACACATCATCACCTTAGCTCACAAAGTATATCTTCGCGCATCTACCACCAAGAAGATATACCTCAAGACAACAAGTTCAAAGTCGCTTCAGCATAAGCATGAACTATGGATCGAGTTGATCAAAAGGGATTGACAATCTTGGAAGATGAGCAATTTAAAGGAGACCCAGGCAAAAATTGCATAGAGATTATCAAATGCATCACATCCTCTTTTTCACGACTTCATCAAGATGATTCATCACGCAATCAATTTCGAAAATCATTTTGATACTCCTTAAACAACATCATCATATTTTAAAATGGGTCATGCATTTATTGCCAGCAATTCCCAAAATAACTCATAGATTTAGTTGGATTTCAAATGTTTGTAAAAAGGAATCACTACAAGATATAGCTAC